AAAAATGAAAATACAGTCTCAGAGTAAAACACTATGTAACTGATAATGCGATTGGGTTGTGAATCTCATGGCCTTTGTGGAAGCTAGCATGTGAATGCTACCATATCTTTATCTAAAAGTATATATTTTTTTAAGTTCAACAAACTCACCTCAACACGATCATGCATTCTATACTTTTCTGTTATTTTCTGTTGTAAATCACACAGCTCTGAGTTTATTTCAACTCCAACAATCTTCTTTATTGGACTGAAGTGATATGCCTGTGTGAAAAAAAACAAACACCTTTCATTAATCATGGGTACCATACTGGTGAAAGACATGGTGGCCAACTAACGGTTAGCATACTAAACTTAGAGTTGAGAGGCCCAAGTTGTAGACCTTGCTGGGTAATTGTTTTGTGTTTTTGGGCAAGAAAATCTATTTTCTAAGTGCCTCTCTTTACTTCATACTTATAATAAAACAAAACACCTGAGAACACTTGCCCCATAGAGAACAGCACCCAGTCTGGAGCCAACATCCACTAACAACTTGTCTGCAAAATTTGTTGCGATGGAAGAGAGGGCTGCTTGAAAAATGAATTTTAACTGCACAAGTGATGATGAATGGGAGATGAAAGCTGTAATTTAAGTACAATATTGTTAAAATGAATAACGCCTCTTTTGCGTTAATAGAACAGTATTAATAATTATTGACATTTTGTAAGACACCTATCAATAGCAAGGTGCTCTTACATATTTCCACAAATTTCCAAACACTTTAATTACCCTATACCAATTAAATGAAGCTTTTTGCAAATTCCAAAGTAGTAAAAAGAAAACCACACACAACTTCAATTGACAATTTAGTGCCTACAGTGCAATTACTGTTGGAAGGGATCACTTACAGAAAACTGATCAGTCTGTTAAGAGTAAATGAGAAATATATTCTATATAAATTCCTTGCCATTCATGCTTGCTTTGGTCTTGTGTGGGGATTGACACAATTGAATTCAGTTCAAACAATTGTTCATTCCCTACACAGTGATTGGTGTTCAAATGACCAAGGTACCAATGGTAGCAGAGTAAATATTTGTAAATAAAAGTAAATAGCATCAAATTTAATTTGTTTCTTTGTCTCAGTCATTTTTTTGCCTAAAGTAAATAAACACTTTACACCCAAGCATCAGTATACATTTTCTCCATACCTGTTTCCATACATATTTCCTAGCAGCAGACAAGGACACTTCGTTTAAAAATCAAGAGCTTTTTTAGTTTGTGATCATTTCCTTTATTCTCGAAACCCTAATGTATGATTCAAGGGTGACATTGTAAGGAGAAATTAGATGCTACTCGCATACTATTTGAGGTCAAAGGGTTAAATATTGATAAAAATAATAATCAATAGCAATTAAACATTACATACTTAATGGGGCTGTGTTGTGAGATCCACATTGTTTACAGTAGTTACGGCTCATTCTCCCTTCATCGCAAAGTTTATCGATGTCTTCATCATTATACAGGAATGAGTCTACATGGACTGTGGTTGAACGTTCACATGCCAGGCCCTGAAGTGAATAAACAAACCAAGAGATATAAAAATTGTGATTTTTTTTTTCCTTAATCAAAATGTTCAGTCCTCCTCTTTTACTTCCAAGGAATCTTTACCTTTCCTTCTTCCGGGTGTCTGATTTTTTCTGTCTCCAGGACTCCTTGAAGTGGAATTATCCTTTTTATGTCCTTTGTAATATTTTTTAACCTTTTCTCAGCCCATTTAAAAGTGTAATCAATATTTTCTCCACTTTGTTTACAGGTATATGCATTGGAACAATGTTCCGTAACCCATTCAACAAAACCTTCAGAATCTTTTGGGTCAAGTTTTGATAGAGTGCGAAGAAAGGAGGACTTTGCTTCTTCGAGGGAGAAAGGACAAGTGTCACTATCTTCCATTACATCCAAAAACGACGCGCTAAACTAAACCAAAAGCCGGCTAGGCTAGGGTATAAAGGAACAAAGTGAACCGTAAAACTAAAGATGTGCAAAAGTTCTCGCCGAGTTGCAGGTTAGTAAGTTGCACGTGCGTTAGGCTTGGTTTCCAAGCCACAACATCGCGTGGTCACGAAGTAAATAGTAACATGGCGGTCGCCGATGTTGTTATCAAGCAAGAGGCTGTAGATGCCGTGGATTTAGAAGCGAGAGTTGTCCAACTTTGCAAAGAGAATCCTAAAGGAATAACAGATCAGATTATTTCGCAGGGTATGCCAAATATTCCACCTCAGCAAAGAGTCACAGCCATAAACAGACTTCTCTCAATGGTGAGTCATAGTATCGCTCAGCTGAGTCTCAGAATTTATCCTTATTATTTCCTATTTTCAACAGACATGTTTGACATTGAAAAGCTAAACTATTTCGAAGGTAATTCAATGGAATAATTAAAGTAAAAGTTTTGCTAGATGAATTTCTGTCTACTTGTAGGGCTGCATAATTTTTCTAAAGATGTTAGTTTATTTTCAAGTTTGTTTTTCTAACTTGTGTCCATAGGGTAGGATTGAACTTCTTAAAAGTGGCACACAACTGTTATACAGATATAAAGATGCCCAATCAACTACGTAAGTTTTAACCTCTCAGTTTCCACATTTCCTAAGGGTATGAGCCAATTAAATAAGGCCAAATAACAGCGGCAAATTAAAGAAAGCTGTAGCTCACCATTCGCAAGGCAACAACATTGGGGCCAAAAATAGATGTTGTGTTCCTGAAAATTAGAAGATTTGAATGTCTAGCCATGTAGAGAGAACAGGTTGAGATCTGCAAAACGCAGCCTGTAATCTGTAAATAGTTACTTTTAGTAATACTTTCTCTTTTCTTTGCCTGAGCAATATTTTTATAGATCAATAGAGTGCGAGAAAACGATACAGGAACAGAATGAAACACCTGTTCTTCCAATTTTCCCCAGTGTAGCAGATAGGAAGATCTCTAAAGTTATGGAGTTGCCCATCTTTGTAAATGAGCTAATACGTTTTTCATCAGGTTGAAATATTAGCTCACTTTCAGAATGATGTTAAAACTGTAACCAGTTATCAACATTATATAGATCGATATAATAGATTATGACCTTTCTTCAACAGGAAAACTAAAGGATTTGAATTAGAAGAGAAGGTTGTCTATCAGATCATAGAAGAGGCACAAAACAAAGGTACATGTATTAACACTGTTGCTTGTTTTCATATTTTATCAAAAAGGTAATTGAAAATGTCTTTGATTGCTTTGTTGTTGTTTTTGTTTTTTTTTATCAATTTCCGGTAGTAGGGCTCTGGCTACCTCTTATATGGCATCACTTTTAACACTTCACACCCTAGCATCAGTATGCACACTCTCCATACTGTTTATTATACATTTGTTAAAGTGCTGACAAAGAGAACTTGTTTTTGTTAACTTGTTAAAACAATCAAGAGCTTAATATGTCATTGGTGATCATTTCCTTTATTCTCGTGACCTTAATGTGCGATTCAGGGGTAATAATGTGAGGAGAAATTAGATGCTAGTCACTCTTAAGGGTCAAAGGGTTCAAGAGCTTCTTCATTTAGTGATCATTTCCTTTATTCTCATGACATTAATGTGCGATTCAGGGGTGATACTGTGTGGAGAAATTAGATGCTAATCTAAGCTAGGGATTAAAGTGTTATTCCTTTCTATTTTAAGATCTAATACACTAATTCTCCACACTTTCTGCAGTGTATTTCTTATAATTTTAGTTGAGAGAATTTGGTGTTAATTCATTCAGTATCTTCTCATCACCTTTCTGCTCAAGCATTTAGTGATATTGCGAGGAGAAGTTCCTTTTCAGTCATTCCTGGGAATAAAATTCTGTTGTTTCATGTTGCATTACTTATTAGGTATCTGGATCAGGGACATTAGATTCAAAAGTAATCTACCCATGACACAAGTTAACAAGATTGTAAAAAATTTGGAAAGTAAGAAGCTTATTAAAGCTGTTAAATCAGTTGCTGTAAGTATTACAAGGTATTTTGTTGACTAAAGTGACACAATGTGGTTGTGTTCAATGTGGGTGAACCATTTCAGTTATGCACAGTTTTTTAACTCTTTTAGCCTCCCCAGTCTGATTGTTAATTCTCCCCCAAAGCTGTTGCACATTTCCTTTTAAATTGGTGATGAGAATTTGGTGTTGAATCAAGATAACATACTCTACCTAATAAGTTTAAGTATTTTCATTACCCGATTGCTGAATAATGTATGGATATTGTAGGGATAACTAAATAAACGTGCTAATTACTTCTGGCAGTCAAAGGGTTATGTTGATATGGTTAAAGTTTCCCCAAAGAAAATTAACATTGACTGTTTTGGGTTGAAAGTCATTACCAGACATCTGTTTGCCTACAAGTTGAGAAAAGACAAGATGGACGCCAGTTTGCTTCATCTCTGGCTTTCAAACATCTTGAAACAGCTGCCTTTGGGCAAGTTTGTGCTCATTCATCCTGCTTCTTTTCCGATATCTGGTACATCATTCACTTCAGTGATTCTTTATGCCAAAAGTCCAAAAAATCTTGATTTGTGAGTTAAGAGAGGACATATTTCTACAAACCCACTCAAATAATGTCATTGAAAACCTGCTTTAGTTCTTTTGTGATAGGAACTAGGGTAAAAAGGGTTTTTTTTTTCAGTGGATATTGTTTCATGTTTAATGACAATCTTTTCAGGCCTCCAGAAAGAAGGTATACATGTTATTCAATTTGGAACCAGATATAACAGTGACTGGAGGAGCTTGGTACAGTGATCAGGATTTTGAATCAGAATTTGTGGAAGTGCTTAATCAACAGTGTCACAAGTATCTGGAACAAAGGGTATGATAGTTGATAGTTAGTGTAAAAGAGTCCTAAAATCCTTTCTCAATATGCTGGATGTGGCTCCCAAGGTTGACATGCCTTAATAAATAGAATTTTTCATCTCATACAAGGTAGCAAAATTAACAGAATTTGTCAGAGGGAGAATGGTTTATTTACTAACTATTTGTCATTTATATCTCTGTTAAAAATTGGTATTTTTTCATTGCAGGCTTTGCAAGTTGAACAAATGAATGTAGATCCACTGGCCAAGAGGAATGCATCTTATTCATCATGTTATGATGTATGGAAGTATATCTCTGAATTAGGGATTAGCAAGGTAAACTTCATTGAAAAGCATTGTTCTCCTTTTGAAGGGGTAACCCAGGAGCCAGTAATATTTACTACCTGGAGTAACTCTTGTTACTCCCTAAAATCACTTGGAATTCTTGAAAATCAACAGGTAAAAGTTTGCTCTACCCATGTCATGTTCTAGCATAATGGTGTCAACTTTTTTTTACTGTTGTAGGTTCAACTGGCTGAAGGGGACATTGAAACAATTTTAAACACACTAGTCTTTGATGGAAAGGCGGAAATGTCATTGGTTGTTGATAACAGCTTGAGCAGATCATCAGATAATGGTCAGAAGAAACTTTATAGAGCACTTGCTCCATTGCTGCCAGCAGCAGGACTCATGAGTACACCATGCGGTGTTTGTCCAGTAAGGCTTGATTAATACTTGATTTACTGGTAACATAGCAATGTTATCATAAATAATCATGAGGTTTTTGCACAATGAAACAAATACAGGAGGAGAAACACTCCTTGAACAATCTTGTGGCCATCTGAGAATGATGTGAACAAAAACTCACCATTCCTTTCATGTTCTTTGAGCAAAACACAAAGAATCCCCATAAATTTGCAAAGGAATAGTAGTTGCCATCATATTGATGAGGGGATTTAGGGGTGAAAGTTCCATGAGGTGGCTCTTCCTGTCCACTGTTTCCAGGTCAAATTGGAATTTGGAATGTTTGTTTTTGTGAAGGGAGGAAAACCAGAGGAATCAGAGAAATACCCACAGAGCAAGGGAGAACCAACAACAAACTCAACTCAGGTCTGGGAAGCCCCACTCCCCTTGGGATCCAGACCAATGCCTCACTTTCCAGCAGAGAGGAAACAAAAATACCCAAATCCCCCACCCACTTGAGACATAAGACCTATGACTCAATGCCCTCCAAAGCTGATATACTCAAGGTGGGGATGTTTTAGGGTTTACTTAAACTGGTGCATAACAGGTAGTGTATAAGATCTCTACTTAGTGCGCTAAAACTAGGAAGGAACTCAAGGTAACTATCTCCCCCCTTGGGACCACAAGGGTCTACTTTCCAACATTGACATGGATATTTCATCCCTTTACAGGTATCCAACCAATGTTGCAGTGGTGGGCCCATATCTCCAAGCAAATGTATTTACATGAGGGACTGGCTCTCTGAGCTCTAACACTCTTAATTACTTTGTAAATAAAAGATAAATGATGGCTACAGGCATACAAATATGTTTCAAAATCAGTTAGCTCATGGACTGTCATTTCATTTCTGCAACTGGACAACAATTTACTGCTTAGCAATTAAATTTTAAAGATTGAGGTGTAGGAAAGATTATCATTCAAATAAAGAGATCAAATGTTGCCTGAAATTGCTGGCCTGTATTGGTTTTTTTTTTGTTGAATCTAGGCCCATCTAACATTTGGGAACATCTAATATTTGCAACAAACATGGAAAGACAAGTGTTCTTGATTTCCTTTTGTGCATTGTTCTTAATATGTGGAGTTTGTTTTTTAACAGGCAACCGAGGATTCATCAGGACAACCAAATTCAAGAATTTTGATTGCCCACCATTTAAAATAAGGACAACCTCACCTTTTTAAATTCCGAACACTATAATTGTAATATTGTAATGAATATGTTTTATATACTGGGTGGGGGGGGGTCTGTACAGGTAGGTACACTGTTCTCTTGGTTTTCCTTAAATTCTACTCAAGAAGTCTTGCATAGTTTTTACCATTAAGGACCAACATAGACTGGTATAAAACCTCTTTACTTTTATTTTTTTTTTCTGTTGTTTGCTTCTTTCTGCCTTCCCAGCAATGGCACAGAAAAAATTCAATGTGTGATCTACTGGTATATAAAGTTGGATAACAGGTTTGCAAGCATGCGATTAGCCAATAGGATTCCACCAGACTAAGATGCTTCAGAAAAAATAAATCACAAGTATTAGGAAACAGAGTAGTCTTAATTGCAAAAGTGCTATCTATTTTGGTGAGAATAATAATTGGATTCATTTTTAAATAATTTACTGCATAAACTACTCGCTTAAGTTTATTGAAGGAAACTAAATGATTTCGATTTGAACTCATTGCTTGGTATTTACAAGAACATTTTGCTTTCCCACTAAGTTTGTTCATTATTTTTAACCCTTTTAATTAATTAATTAATTGACTAATTTATGAGGAAATGTGTAGCAGCTAAAGGAGAGAAGTAACAATCAGATCTTAAGAATTAAAGGGTTAAAACTTTTTCCAAGATTGTCCCAACTAAAGCTTCGATTGATTCAATTCAGCAAAAGATAACTACTTCATGACTGGTACATCAATACAAAAGTTAATTATCAACAAAATATAAGGAATTAAGTTTGCAGAAAGGGAGACAAAGGAGAAGGCAAAATGTTAATCACCACTAAAAAAATAGCAATCATATGTTGAGTTCTAGGCAATCATTAAGGGACCAGAATTGATGTTCCAAAACAATACCAGAACAATGATTTTTCCACAAAAGCCAGTCAAATGGCTGTGTATTTAGGCATTTGGAAAAAAAAGGAAAAATACTGTACACCCTTAGTGGTAGCATTATAGAATATGATGCCATGTTTTACTGTTATCATCATTATTAATTCAGAAACTACCACCTGTGTTGTGATTTCTGAAGAACTATTATTTAGATGCTGTTACCATTAATTGGAAGAGTTTAAAAGCGAAGTTCACAAAAGTTTGTTCAAGATAGGTACATATTAAATACTTCAAATTTAACAATGAAATTTGGAGATGAAATTTCTGTCATGAGTGAAGGAAAATGTATTATGTCCATGCTTCTTTCCTTTCTCACTTTTTTTTTTTTTTTTTACGAAAAGAAAAATATGTTTGAAATAACAGTAATACAGCCTCATTACTAACACGGATTGCCCCCAAAATAACAAGCATTCTAATTCAATAGCCATTTCTCTCTGCAGCTTTTAATACAAAATATGATAATATTGTTTATGTTCCAAAAGCTCAAATGAAGGCCTGCTGACTTGACAAGCTGTCCATGAATGGTTTAACCAGCTCAGTTGTGGCAAAGTTGAAAATGAGTCCAAAAGTAATTGATATTGGTAAGGCAGGTAGAGCTTTTTTGTAGATTGCCAGGAGGAGGAGTGTTAAGCACAGACCCTGCAAGGAACAAACAACAAAGCCTATTAATTTTCTGAAGAAACTGTGGCGCTTCAGCAGTGACGGGTATTACAAGATAATTTGGTAATAGAAATCGCCCATTCTGAAGAGTTTCTAAAACTTAGTTTTGTGCATTAGCCTTTCATCGATTGCTCTAACAAAGGGCTAAGACTCAAAACCTCAGTTTTGGAAACTCTTTATGTTGATCAATTTGTATTATCAACTCAGTTGATAAAACCAGATAATCCATTTAGAAGTAAATAAGTAGCTGAAATAAGTTCCACCACAGTTAAACATGGTGAGTGGGCAAAGTATGAATGTTGTTAAAATTGAAAGCACTTAGAATAGTGCAGAACAAGAATCACTGAATGATGGTCAAGATTCTTGCAAAATTCTTGTTGAAAACCCTACATTAGGATTCTGTGTTTGAAGTCAAGGAAGGTCTTGATGACAGAAATAAAGATCAAGGTGATTTTTTTAATTAAAAAAAAAACAGTTATTGATAAAAATGACCATGATCCCAAAGGCATTGGTAGCCATCATGGCCAAAGTGTGTCTCTAAAGTCTCAAAAATACATAGAAAGGGAGAAACTGGTAATTGCTTAGGGACCATGGGAAATGCTGGTCTGATATTCATTCAACCTTAGAAATTTGTCAAAGAATTGAAGAGGCCCTCAGAGGATTTACAGGGATATTTTTGCAATCATCAAACTGTAGACAGAAAGTAGTATACGGAATTTTTTTTTTTTAAGATTTCAGATCAGAAGTTAGATTTCACACTAGCCCTGAGTTATCTTAACCCAGCTTTGAACAACTTAGCCCAGTAGATTCCCAAATTAAAACTGGCTGCTCAGTCAGATTCAGACACCAGAATTAGCAAAAAAAAAGAAAAAACAAAACTGGTCCCTTTCAATAGTCAAAAAGTACTCTCAGTACATCTTGACATCATAATAATGCGAATCATCATTGAGCAGATCACAGATCTCACAACAAGGCAATAAAAAGGAGTTAATGATTAGGGAATAACCAGTTTTCAGCACTTACAATAAGTATAGCTACAAAGCAAGCAATTGTTGTGTTCCAATCCTTGTAGGAGGATGCTTTGCCAACCAGAACACTGTAGAATATGAAATCTCCAAGGCCTAGTTTTACACCCTCTGGTGATAAAAATAATGATAAATAACATCAAATTTAAAAGATTGCTTTGCAAATTACCATATATCACTGAATGATTCATGATTCTTACTGTTTAAAAAATACAAATAGCACTAATATTCCTTAAAGCGACACATTAAACTCTGTGTTTCTTTAGAATTCATTTAAATTAAATTTACGCTGAGGAAATCATACATGGTTATGTTGAACAACTGGTCAATCAGTCAAAACTTGAGGAAGAACTCTCCAAACAATGGAAAATACAGGTAACACTATGGGAATGAAACCCTGAAGCAGTTTTAACTAAGGCAAACAAAAAAAAAAACCACTTAAAAACACACCCTTTTCTCAGACAGCAATAAATTGAAACACTCAATAAAAAAGCATAAAATCATACAAGCACTATCAAGATTATGTGTGGATGAGTATTTTAAAAAGTAACAGATCGTTATATCCTTTGGGACTCTGGTAACAACTTGTTCATTTTCACCATCAACAGTTCTTTCAGAGTTCCTCTTAGAAGAAATTCACACTAAATGATCAAATATTCCAAAGTATACAATAAGTGAACTCACTTTCTTCTTCTTCACTATCTTGACCATCATTTGGTGATTGTTGTTCTTCCTCTCGTGAACCCAGGGCCCTCACAGCATTTTCTGCAGCCTCGTTTGTCTCGTTTGTGGGTCCTTCCCCTTCAGTAGACTCTAGTAATTCCTCCTCGTCTTCTGAATCAACTCGTGTGACTGATGTCACTCTTGCTCCTGCACCTTCACTGTTGTCTCTATCAGCCATGCCAATTGACCACATCATGGTGGCTGGAAACACAACAAACAATTGGATTTTTATTTTTCAGAATATGCCTGAATCTCTTGTTGGAGGAGCGCTTCTAGACAATATTTCACATGTTGAATTGTAGCTGCAATGTAAAAAACTTACAGGAGTAAATTAATGATGGGAAGAGAGGCTCATCTCGTTCTTGTGCAGTTTGAACCAAAATCTTCAAAGGCCCTTTGGGACATAGAACAGCACACAAATCTACAGGAAAAAAATCAACCATTGCAACTGTTATTTGAGGTATTTCACAAGCAATATAAATCCACAGTAAGACTAAAGAGAGGGTGTTGTTGCTTACCATAGAGTGAAATAGCTGCCAATATTGCCCAAGTAGTCCAGTCTGGCAAAAATTTGATAAAAACCAAAGCCTATGGAGTAAAACAAGCTTTGCATCACCAATTGAAAAAAAAAAAAAAAAAGTATGAAAGCTGTTAACAGAAGTCTACCACTGTATGTAAGACTTCAGGTCCATTTAGCCTTCAAACAGGCTCTCCTGTTAGGGTTCTGCCTTACACCCCATTTTCTGAACACACGTGCCTATTACTGGTACAGCACCCACAGCCTCTTATGGACAATCTATTGAAACCCCTGAGTACGTTTACATCTGCTGAACTTTGCTTTGAGCCCCACATCTTCTAAACATCCATACATTCTCAAGCAGAAATGGGACAAGAAGAGAAAAACTCATCAACTGGGGGAATATTGTTTGATTGGTTAGCACATTTTTAGATCTAAAATTATAAGTGAAAGGCTTCACTGATATGTATGGGAATGTGGCAATTAAGTGTCCAGAAGTGAACAATAAGGACATGAAACTTAGTGTGTTTTGGCCTCACTAAGTATTGTTAGTGACTCATTAGTTTAAGAATTTTATCTTATGCTTTCAAACCAGTACACATCTCACAACAAAAAACAACCAAACAAACAAAAAACAAAGCTATGGCTTACCATCAAAGCACTAACTAAGATAAGGTATGCTTGTTGTAATCTAAGAGGTCCTTTCCAATGTATGCAAATCATTCCTACAACCCCAAAATTCCAGATTATCAATGATAATGTGAAGTAGTCCATTGCTACATTGTACACCTTCAGCACCTCTCTGTTGACAACAAGGACAAATACTGCACATTAAAAAAGAGTTTTGTCACTGACATACAAAGCACCTTAGCCAAAAACAAAGGCAAGCCTAGGATAGATGACAACTGAGGAAAACAGACTAGGTGTGGCAAGGAAAATAGAGTAAATAGAGATATTTTTAATAGGCGTCAAATCTAATTTGTGATTGAATTGGGTTTTACTTAATTGAGATCTCTTATAGGCTTTGAAAACTTGCTACATACTCAATAAAACTGAGAGTCTAACACAAACAGTAACATTCGCCATCATTCTAAGAAGTCACACAATGACAAGTTCCAATTGTTTTATTTAATGGGGAAAGCAAAGCTGGTAAAGTGAGTGTGAAGTATGGATGACTTACTGGAAATAAATGTAGCCAAAGAAGAATAACAGCATTAAAGACGATAGCACCAACCATCCTGATATTACCTAGGAAACAACCAGAGCATTCCTGTGAATGTTTTAAGGTAATTAATTATTATATTTCACTAACTTAATTTCCCTTTTAAAAAGATCTGAGAATCTCACTCTAACAAATTTGCTTTAAGGAAGGTGTGGCACTGTGGTATTATTACCAATATATGTCTCACAATCCAGTCCCTTGTTAAATGAGGCAGATTAGTACAATCTTCCCATAAATATTACAAGTCTTTACAGAGAAATAATAATCCATAACCAGTCAATTGCATTATCTGATGAATACCAGCATGCTGCTAGAATTTCATGATTTACACAAACCCTCTAGAATGTTCCCACTTCCAATGCATGGCTGTGTAAATGATACAATTTTTTTCAGGCTTCTTTTCTGCAATTGCTTAAAATTGCAGCTCACCTATGAAAATCATTCATTATCTAGTGATACTTTACCATATGATGTTACTAACTTTACTACATAACAGGTACAAAAAGAACACTGGAGTTAACTAAAGCTACTTTCAACCTAGGTTCATACAGCAAAAAAAATGTTTTGTCACCTTGGAGATCATGCGAGCAATCATTATGGTAAACTTATTGCAGAGTGGTCTCGATGTGGAGATAAAACTCTAAGTTCAGAGGGAATCTTGAGATATAACAGGCTCACGTAATATGAGTAACAAGTTTTAACTACATGTGGGAAGAAGCAAAATTACTGTACTCACACAATAGCATCGGAACTTATAAAGCAGCACAAGGAAAACGGTGAGAACCAGAACAACACCAATCACTATGAAGGCATTTGCTATTGCCTCTCCAGCCTTCCTTGCCTGGCTTATGTTTCCATCCTCATGAAATGGTGTGTACACACTAATAGATCAACATTGAGGTTGAATGATTAGAAAAATGATCAATGGAAGGCTATTATATTTTCCTACATCTAGGCAGTTTGGAAAGCCACCAAACTCTAGAACAAAAATGAATCTTTCAAATCGGCACTCTTTATCTCCACGGTATCAACAAGTGCTTTCCATTCAACTAATTTATTTGTTTTTCTTTCGCCAGTGGCATAGCCCCATTTTCTGCATATAAACACAAACACAACCCACAACTCCTCCATTTGCTCTAACAAAGGGCTACTTCTCAAAATGTCAGCTTTGAAACTCTTTTTGGTGGCCAATTTATGTTATCAACTCAGTTGATAATACTAAATTACTCTGTTATATACAGCCCTCAATAAACCAAGAATAAGGGGCAAATAAATGACCAACAGAAAACCTTTTACAGGTTTTGACATTCCCTTCCCTATATTCTGAAAGAAAGTATACAAGAGAAAGCTGTGGGCAACTTACAGGTATGTGCCTTCTCTCCGTGTATAGTATGTGACTGATGCTATAGTTGCCACAACAACCAACATACAGGTTGAAACAGGAACTATTAACATCATAACACTCTTGGCTCCATATTTGAGCATCTCCTCCTCATCCATTTCACTATCATTGGGCGATACATCTCGTACCCTTTGCTCTCTGCCCTGATTTCTCTGACGTGCCCTTGATGGCCTTTCATTACCACCTTCTTCAAACAGTTCAGGCCCATCATTCTGACAGGAAAACAAATAAGTATGTTGGTTGAACCTTTTAAACTCTAATATCAGTATCCATATTCTCTACACTGTTCCCTATACATTTATTTCAGTACTGACAATCAAAGCTTCTGCTAATCATTTCCTTTATTTTAACGAATGAATGATTCAGCAGTATTACTGCAAAGGGAAAGTGGAAGCTGGTTACTCTTAAGGTTCTGAGAGTTAATCAAAATTACTTTACAACAGTGGACACCATAGTTGTTATCACTAATAACCCCTACAGAAGATTGGCATCTAATTTCTCCTCACAATATCATCCCTGAATCAAACATTAAGGTCATGAGAATAAAGGAAATGATCACCAATGAAGGAGGCTCTTGACTGTTAAACAAATTCCTCTTATCAGCATCCTAGGAAATGTACAAAGAACAGTATGGAGAATATGAAAACTGTTGTTAGGGTATCAAGGGTTAATCAACTCCTGGATGGAGTGGGGGAAAGTGATGACACATTCTCTTGAACTAAGCCTGGACTCTAACATTTCACGTCAACTGTTTAGTTTTACCCTACACCCACTGTTTCCCACTATTCATAAATCTATTTCCAAAATAAGCCAGCTTAATGATGTAAGGAAATTCTGAGTGAACATTTCGCTGATTTTCAAGAAAGGGGAGCTTAGAATAGGCGTTTACGGGATATGACAGAAGTGTAACCATTTCTGTTTCCAAAGTTATCATGATCAAGCACAGACGTGTTTTCGTTCGAAAGAGGCTCGAACTCTCTTCTTTTCAGTACATTGGAAGTTTACAAGGGACGCGGGCTGACAGCACAACACTAGGTGTGTCTAAATGTAACTGATAAAGTCCTGAAACTGAGCAATCTTTGAATATTAAACGCGAAACTGAAGAGGGAAAAATATGATTTTTAATGATGATATTTAGGTGATTTCTGGGTGTAAACAACAACCAAAGAAAACTCAGAAATCAGGACAGAAACTGAAATCTCTCATTACAATCTTCAGCATCAAAAAGTACTTACCGTATCTGTTATTTGGTTATTTTGTCCATTTCTTCGACTCCGGCGGTCACTGTTTCTGTTATCACGAAAACTCTGAGTGACTACTTCGCCCGACATTAGACTGGTTGTTTCATCCACGTCGTCCTCGTTCATGTATCTGTTATCTCAAACATCGGCACTGACTTCAAGCAGAGATTCCTTTCACGAAAGCCGTAAAATTTCCTCAACTGCACGAGGCTTAGCGATTTTGTAAAACCATCATGGCGGAAAACAGTGACGACATTCCTCTTTTCCCTCGATACCAGCCTGAGACCGAAAGAAGGCTGGTAACTAGAAAGAGCGTTACATGCGTGACTGGGAAGAGGATGAGGAAATAACTTGACCCTTTAACTCCCATGAGTGACCAAGCCAGAATTTCTCCTTACAATATCATTACAGTATCAACCAGATAAGTGATGAGAATGAAGAAAAATATCAATTTGGGGATAATTGGTTGATCCAATACTAAATTCTCTGACCTAACATTATAAGAATTGTATGGTTGACAGTAAGGAGAATGACAAATTTGATCTGGGAGTTAAAGGGTTAAAGGTAGCTCTGATGGGGTTTACAAACGACATACATGGAAGCAAATAAGCTGGAAACCCTGTCAGGTTTCCCCGACAGCCAGGCTCAAGGCTTCTGTTGTCCACCATCATTATGAATAGATTAAACTCTGCTAATATAAAGTGAAACACTTATGTCTCTGAATTTCTTTCTTCTGAATTTATTGTTGACAAACTTTCAATAATTTAATTGACAAGGTTTTTTTTTAAAGTATGTGTCTAATAAAATTACCTTGAATGGAATCTAACACTTCCTTAACAAAAGCTTGAGGTGGATCAAATTGAAAAATTCAGAAATAGTTTTTTTATTTCTCATTAAAGAAATTGTGCCAAGACTTAATGTGGGACACACAATTCAGGACGCTTTTAACCATTTCATGTCCTTACTTAAAGGTGATCATACCCTTAAAAAATGAAAAATATATTCCTCTTGAGCATGGGGAAAAGGAAGAAAAATTAACCCAAATGAATAAAAGTAATGGAAAACTTAAAAAACCCTACCCCAGTTGTTGGAGAGGTGGATAATACTATCCAATGGATAAATCTCTCTCCAGTGGATAGCACAGTATATTTTGTTAGCACTGATGTACAGGAGAGCAATTTATCTGTTGGATAGCATTATCCACCCTTTGAATAACTGGGCCCTGGCTAATAAAATACCAACTTCAACTATTTAGACTATGTAATCTACTTTATCACAGATAAAAATATGAAAGTGTATTTTGACATGTGGATGGTAAGTGTGTTCCTGAACAGTTCAGTACTGTACTAAGACATAACTAAGACCTTATTAACCTTTTCCAATAGTAGATGTGGATGCATGTGATTCTTGTTAAACAATTTCTTATGTCTGAAAAGCTAGTTGTTAACTGGAGATTTAGAGTTTAAAGAAAGAAATATTTACTTGGTAATACTTAACTAAAATTAGCGTCATGAATGTGTTCTGTACTAGCTCATCTGCAATTCAAGACCAATTTACACCCTTAATTTTTTTTTTTACCTCTGATGTTGTCACGGGTGATTTGTTGGTCAAACTACTTTCCCTTTTTCATCAATTCTCTCATTTCTTAGGTGTTTACATGCAAAAATCACAAGCAATAAGTGCGCAGTATAAATTGATCTTGACACAGACCTAAATTTGATAATAACTTTATGAAAACGAATAAATTAATATATTAAATTAAAACGCTTTTCCCTTTAAGTCAGAAGTGGTGAACTTCATTGGTCACTTTGGTCATTGACTGAAGACGTTAAAGACAACATATTAAATCTAATAAACTAGATACTAGCTAGCCTTCTTTTAATCCCTTACCACCTAACATTGGTATGTATAATCTCCATACTATTCTCTATAAATTTCCTAGGGGTGCTGAAAAGGAGAACTTGTTTAACAATCAAAAACTTCTTTAGTTGGTGATCATTTCCCTTTTTCTTGTGATCTACATGTGTGACTTAGGGATGATAATGTAAGAGGAAATTAGATGGTGATCACTCTTTTTGGTCAAAGGGCTAAGTATTGTCTCCTCACTACAAAACTTGGAGAAAACCTGACTGTCATCTCCACCTTCAAGTCTACCTTCTACCTTGAATTCATTTTCTAAAATCTTTTCCATTCCAAAACTTCAACTGACATATCCTGGATATTTTTTTATTCAAGTTCAGCTAGTTCACCTGTAACCCACTATCCTGGTATCTAATACCTACAGCCAAAACTTATTTCTTTGGGTATCTTCCTCTCTTAGGTATGTGTGTGTGATTTTAAAAAGAAATTAGCTTCTAAACACTAGTGTTTGATTTCTGATTGCCCTCTACAGGCTTAGGTGTGTTATCTACAGGATTATGAGCATAAAGAATTACTGCGTAAGAAACAATAGCAATGGCAACGAACGTGAAAATATCAACTGGAATTCCAAAGATAATCCAGCACAATACAGCAGTGAACATGATCTCTAGTGCACTAGCAAAAGTCTTAAGAATAGAATTCAGCTGCTTCAGGAACAATGCTGTGGTTATGCCAATGCCAGCATTATTGAAAATAATGGCCAAAACTTTACCTCTGGCAATGGATGCTAGGCTTTCTCCAGTAAATGCATCAGATAATGTGCCATTGTACCAGAGAACGGCAAAATTACACAAGACTGAGTCTACATACATGAAAAAATTCTGAACCATAAATGGCACATCACCACCTTTACCCTTTAACAAATACTCATTATAAACACCAGCAAAACAGGAACAAAACACTTGGACAAGGATTAACAGAAGATGAATGTCAAACTGTATGGAGAAAGAGCTACTTCCTGCTGCAAGGTTCTCAAATTTGATCTGCTTGATGATACAACCAGATGTTAGCAACAGCAAAGATACCCACTGAAGCCCACTCAGCTTTTTACTAAACAATATCTGCAAGAAAAAAATACAGGTAAGTTCTTAAACACTTTTAATTCAAAAGATCTGATCAATAATTCTCTCTTCTTAGTGGATTAGGTCAAATCTATCCTCAAGCCCAGCAGCTCTTGCAATTCAAGCTGATCCCAGTTTGCATAGTATAAATAAATTAAGAGTTCCATTTACTGAATCACCAAGTTTTAAGTTTAACCCTTTAACTACCATGATCTCATTAGTAATTCTCCTTACTGTCTGTCATACAGTTCTTGTAATGTTAGTTTGGAGAATTTGGTATTGGATCAACTTATTATCCCTTAACTGATTAACTGGTATTTTTCTTTATTCTCATCACTTGTCTGCTTGATATTGTATCGATATTGTAGGGAGAAATTTTGTCTCGGTCACTCATGGGAGTTAAAGGGTTAAGTAAGATGAACATTTAGGTTCAGAGCTCCGAGCTGTTACCATTCTGATCACCATGACTAGTAGCAAAAATTTGGAAACAAAAGAAAAACTTTTTCTAAATCCCAAAACACATTGTGGCATAAGTTTCCTTTTGTAAGGTGAAGGACCAAATGAGAATTTGAACATATCCTGACAGGCATGGATAACAATGTCTCATTTATAAAAAAATCAGGACTTGCATCTCTTGGTTGAAAAGAGGCACTGCCCTAAACAAGACATGAAATCACAGTGGAACTCCCCTGAAGGGGATGCCCTCAGGGACTGGCAAGTGTCCTTTGAAAAGAGAAGTCTAATGGATTGATGTTAGGCTGGAGTTTGTTAATAATTAATCACCGGAAAAAAAAATTAATGAGTTGAGGTGTTCCAAAGGAAAGCTTTCACTATTAGTGAAATCAAAATCTTGATTTTCCGCACTATAGTTTCATTACTAATTGCTTATGGGCAGAAAACCCTTAAGGAGGGAGTAACTTCACTGATTTGTTGTTTCACTGAAAGGTGTAAAACTCTAAAACTTATCTGAAAACAAATATGCATGTGGAACATGTGTTAAAACTAATATTGACTAAATCATTTCCAAAAAAATTGGCAGAGCAACCATCCAATATTAGAAGAATTCTTCCAAAATTTGAAATGCTAATTAGGTGGTTTTTCCCATGACTACATATGAAATCTTAAAGAATGCTCAATTTCTGATTTCTAAGCAAAAGAACCATATTTGTCAGATTTTTTAAAATTTCCCCAAAGAAAAATTTCCCTATCTGACTTTAAAAAATGTGATGGTAAGATTAGCAAAACAAATTTAATCAGAGGTGTCCAAAACTTATCAGCTTTGCCTGGAAAAATAAAACAGAAAAGAGATTATAATAGATTAAACAGAGTTATTGCCTGCATTATTACCTGAAAGATAACTCCAGTTACCACAACTCTAAACTGCAGCAGGAGGTAGTAAGTTGTTGGGTCATAGTTGGCTAAATTCACAAAAGCCAAGTTGTTGTAGAGACAGTACATGAAAGAAGGCACCACATAAAGTACCAGCACTAGAGACAAAATCAGAGAAAAGAGGCAACATTAAGCATGTGTATATCTTTTAAATAAAGCTAGTCTACATCTTTATATTTCTCCTTGACAAATAGATTTATCTCCAAGAAAGTGCCATAGTGAGTGGTATATATTAACATCAGATGGGAAAGATCTCAGGGAAAAAGGTTAACAAGTAAATTTTTTGCTAATTAATTTAAAACAAGTTGATGTCTATTTGACAATTTACAAGATTTCAAGATGCCCAATTTACAGTGTCAAGGCAAGGGTCTAAAATCAAAGAAAATACTCGTGTGCAGGTAAATTTTCAATTACCTTTAACACTGATTTCACACAATCACCAAATAATCTCAAATTTAATCATTTACTTTGAACTTTAGGGGACTTCTAGCCACAACAGGACTATTTTAATTGTAAGGATAAGAAAAAAAACAGAAAAATACCTTTAACATTAGATCGGACATGCTGCAAGAACTCCCCGAAGGTAGATCTAAACAGAAACAAAGCGATTTCAATTTTATGGTGCTTTTCAAGTGTGTGCTTTCACGCTGACAACAACACCTTCACAGTACACATCCAGCTGATCACAATATACAAACATATACAAGCCTTGCAAGATATTATATGCATGTAAAACTGCTTTAAAACACGATATGTTTAATTATAATTTTAATACACCTACGTTTGAAGCTGAATTCCTACGGCAATTATGAGTTTGACGAATTCCGTCAGTAGAACCACAGTGACAGTATTATAAGAGTAGTGGTTGCTTTTGTCTTTAGTTGCTGTAACAAGGATGCCTGTCGGAAAAAAAGCGGCCAATATTAATTACTGTGACACATGTCGAGCATAACAAAGAATATATTGTACTATACCACAAATATCAAGTAAGAAAAAGCCAATACTGCGAAATCAATTAACGAGGTTTTTTTGTTTATTGAGAATAAGGAAACGAATTAAGTGTGGTAAGTTAGCCCACAGACCTTGGCTTATAAATAGGGCCATGTACCCTACGAAAATCAAAAAGTGTGTTTTCGTAGGAAAGAGGTTTTTGAGGTCTGAAATAGATCCAAGTCCTCGAGAAGACGGCATCGTTTTCACTGAGCTTTGGTCCGTTGACGAAGCCATCTACAGTTGTTGTAACTCACTTATTGTGAAATTTACGAGTGAAGGGGTGGGGCGAGTAGAATCATGGGAAGCTCTCCCCAGGTTTCATCCGCTCAATTTCCATAGCAACGTTTCTCGGGGAGAAAAGCAAAAAGAGCAAAAATGGCGGACCTACCGAACGTAGATGGAGAGAATCCTAAAAGGACACTAGTATTTGTGAATCATGTGGATTTATATACTGGAAAAAGTATAAGCAAGGTGAGGGACATGCTGTTGCTATATCTGTTTCGTCTGAAGAACCGGAACTTGAAGCATCTGGAGCAGCAACTCAACTCTGGATTTTAAGACACAGAACTCTTTGGTCCTTTTATCAAACAGATCTGACTTAGATGTGTTGTGGTGCAGGTTTTCTGCTTATGAATAAGCGCTTTAGTTTGGAAAAAAATTTTTGTTTTTTTTTACCAGTCGAGTTTCCAATCAATCCCCGTAGCTTTAATTTAGTCTTGATATCTTTCTTTACTTTTCATAGATATTGACAGAGTCTGTGGTTGGTGCTACAGCAGAAGAAGATGAAGTTAATGATGATGAGTCTCAAGCTAGTGGACAGCCCCAAATTCCAAAGGAAAATTGTTACAAAGTAGTTGGTACTTTACAGGATCCAACGCAAAACAAACCAAAGTGGGTTGATGAAGTCTTCGAGGTATATATGAATTGACGTCAGCCTTATTTCTTAGCTAAAACCTTGCTAATTAACTTTCAGTCATAATGATTTATGTTTTATTACACTTTTGGATCTATGTATACTTCTGTGATCTGTCCATCTTATCATCTGTTAAGTTAAATGATCAGACTATACTGTGGAGTTATCTGACATTGACTGACATAAAAGGAGGGTAATCAGCGGATAAGTGTCAAGAAGACGTAATGCGTTATTCAGCGGATAGTGGTTTATCCAGTAGAAAGCTTTATCCACCCTTTCAACAACTGGGGCCTGACCTGTAAAGTGATTTCAGTGGATAACTCTCATGTTTACTCTGCAGTACAATACAAAAGAAGATCTGCTTCCCCATCTACTGGAGTGCGACATTATTGTGTATGACATAACTGGGAGTCCTGATCAGGTAGATGAGGCTACTTGGGCTGTGTCAGGTAATTTTTCATTTGTAACCAATGCACCAGCAATAAATTTATGTGGAGTTTAATTTCTTTACTCATCAAGAACAGAACAATTACAAGATTGGAAATAATATGTGAATAACACTGGAAATACAAAAAACATAGGAATTATGAATAACATAGGAAATGCAAAACACTCTATGAAAGGGCAATTTATGAGACAACTTTGGAGTACAGCTGGCTTAAGAACATACTCTTGATAATTTTTTCAACTCAAGCTCACACCTCTTATTTGCATGATCTGCACGAAGGTCAAACTCATAGGGATAGCCACATGGATTGGGGCTAGGCAGGGGATTGGTTTCTACATTATTCATGTTTTTTTTTCTGACTAACCTTCAATCAATTGAATTAAAATTCAGCCCAGCTAAGTTTTAAACAGTGAATGGATAAAGAGGGTTAGTTTTTGACAGAGCTGTGGTACTGTACCACAGCTCTGTCAAAATGCTGCCTTGGTAGTTTTATTACTTTCAGAGCAAATGACCAGGGACTAACACTAATTGTCAGCTTCAAAAACATTTTATATTGGTCAATGTACATTATCAACTCAGGTGATTAAAACAAGTTATCTAGGTTTTAAACAGCCAGTCTTGGGTTCAACTTCTGTACAGGCCTTATTTTTTTTTCTTTCAAGTTTTGTTTTCATCACTCCTTTAGTGGTGTTCATAACTACAATGACCACTCTCATCTTCTTTTAAATCAGTAATCTTATTTGAAGTACCAGAAATTGAGCAGCATCTGTAGAACAAAAAGTTGTCATCCTTAATTCAATCTAAAACTGCTCAGATGACTTACATTGCCTCTGAATAATTTAGCTTAACCCTTTTCCTTCAGAAGTGATCAGCAGTTTAATTATCCTAATAATTTTAGAACTTTTATCACACAGAAAATAAGAATTAAGAAAATTATCAAATTGATCTTTGGTGTATTTAGATATGTCATCAAATTCACAACACTCAATTAAGTTATTCAAGAAATTCATTGTTATTTAAGTTAGAAGAAAACTCTTTCAAAACTTTGGGAATGAAGCATTCATAGTGTCATATATATGATCCTTTTGCAGCCCTTCATGCAGAACTGGAGAATTTTAACACATTGAAAGTATTCATTTGTTTATCAACTGTGATGACATGGGCAAGAAGCAAACCACTTGATCCTGTGAGTTTTCATGGTTGTCTTGCTCTTATTCTTTTACAATTTAATTGAAACCTTCAAGAAAAGTACAAACTTAAAAAAAATGTACACTCTACCCAAAGGAAGTTCACTGTTTCCCTTGGCACTACTATATTCATTGTACAAATTCAAAGTTTCCTGTCAACTAATAGGCCATTTTACAGTTGTTTACTTAGTTGCCAAGCCTTTGATTTGGAGTGAGGCTGAAGGTGACCTTGTTGTGATAGAGACCAGTATCTAGTTAGCATGATAACAAAGTAATTTGCATTTGAAAAGCAGCAAGGTTTGTATCATAACAAGGTCACCCTTAGCCTCATTCCTGTTCAAAGGCTTGGCAACCAAGCACACAACTGTAAAATGGACTATTGACCACACAATCTATTTCTTGGTTGTGATGTTTTGTTTTTCACCTTGGAGACCATGATATTCTTGCAAAATCGTGAAGGAAATAATGACAATATGTTAATTTTCAGTAATAATTTTTCATTTGCATTCACACAGGATGACCCAGAGATATCATTCACGGAGGATGACTACCGCCGCAGGAGAGCCCATCCAAACTTCAAATCCCACATCAGTGCAGAGAAGCTTGTCATCAAACATGGAAAAACAAACAAGTCCAAGTTTATCACTTACGTTGTGGCAGCAGGTTTAACATATGGATCAGGAGAGGACATCTTTCACTTTCTGTTTAAAACAGCATGGCATGGTCAGGCACCTGCATTGCAGTGTTTTGGCAATGGCCAAAATATTGTACCCACCATCCACATCAAAGACCTGGCAGCAGTAATTGTGAATATTTGTGATCAGAATCCCAAAGTACGCTATCTGGTGGCAGTGGATGAGTCTAAGAACACTCTTGAAGAAATTGTCAAGGTAACTGTTGTTTGCGTAGTTTTTTGTCGAGTCATTTTTTGTTCCATTTTGGTTCATATATGACCTCTGAGTAATTACTATGAGGATTGAGGAAATGAGGAAATGGGAACTTACCATTAGGGTTTGATTCTTAGACTTGGCATCAGAGGCAGGTTGAGTTTGTTGATGGGCCTTGTCCTTGTTCTGAGAGTTTTTCTCTGGTTCCCTTGGTTACCTCCTCCCCTTCTCAAAACCAATTTTCCACTTTCTGATTTTACCATGGAAAAGTGGACAAAAGAGCCATTTTTGTTATTGTTATTATAATAACTGGTTTTTTTTTCATCATCATATGACTTTAGAGAGAAAAAAGTAATGGTAGGTAGTTATTTTTAAATTGTTTGATGCATTGTTTCAGGCTGTTAGTTTACACCTTGGAAATGGAAGAGTAAAGAACATCACAAAGGAGGAAGCACTTCTTATTAAAGAACTTGAGGTATTATAATCACGTTTTTTCACATGAATTTTTTTTGCTACTGTGAACAATTTTTTGTTGATTTAAGTGCTAGTAATTATTATTTAATTAATATTATTTTAATTTCCTTCCTTTTGAAGCAAGCTGACTTTGACTTGCTCCTAGTCAATCTGAGAATGGATGCCACTTACATAAAAGAGGGAATGAATATCAACTGGGTGTCAGAAGTAAGAAATATTCATGTAACCTTTATAAGCCTCTAACTTCCATTAGTGACCAAGACAGAATTTCTCCTTACAATATTATACCAGTGCTGATAAATGGTATTCCTCTTTCTATTAAGAGAAGCAAAGTCGCTACACATGTATGCAACTTTGATGTTTTTAGTAAAGGTTCTTGTCTTGATATCTTTTCTTCTCACTCTTTTTTCTCTTAACCCTTTAACCCCCATGTGTGATCAAGACATAATTTCTCCTTACAATATCAATACAATATCAACCAGATGAGTTATGAGAATAAAGAAAAATATTAATTTGGGGAGAATCAGTTGAGATAATCCTAAATTCTTAGAACTAACATTATAAGAATTGTATGTTTGACAGTAAGGAGAATGACAGATTTGAAGGATTAACTCTCAAAATCCCCCTACCCTCCAAAAGAATATCAATTCCTGATTTTCTTTTGGAGATTAGGAGGGTGGCTGTAGAGTGGCTCTTAGTTAGCTAAGAGAGTTATGTACAGAGAAGCAATCTGCCTGAATTACACAACAATGGATCAACCATCTATAAAGATGTAGAAACATACATATATTACCAGGAACTTAGAAGTGTTAAGATTTCCCATTTATTAAATCCACAGACTGGACTTACAGAGAACATTGATGGTGTCATTAAAGAGTATAAAGAAACAAGGGGACTTTTGGTAAGGTCTCTTGCACATATACAATTAATTTACATGTAAGTACTTTCATGTAGGAGATACAGTGTCCAAATGGTTAGTGAGCTGAACTCTGGGTCTTTTTTAATAATCACTTGTATAGTTACAGACAGAATTGGACTCCACTCAGTCCTGTTACCATTATTTATTATCTTCCTAGAAGGATTTGTAGAGCCAACATTGCATTTTTTTTAACAATTCAGTGTCATTTGTATCATTGCTGTACCGGAAAGTTTGCTGAATCTCAGATTATATTTCAATTTGCATTTTAGCCTCTCAGGGCATGCATCATTGGCCCCCCTGCATCAGGAAAAACTCTGGTTATCAAACAGCTTTGTGAACACTACAAACTTCATCACATCAAAATTCAAGATGTGATTGACGAAGCTGTGGATAAACTGGTAAGGTCAAGGCTTCATGGAAATCATATATGTTCATCTGTAACATTGTAATTTTT